ATATCGCATATGTAAAATTCCTGTATTAATGTGCATCGTCTAATTCAGCGGCCTTTAAGTTTTGACGATTGACGGAATCTCAGAACTATTAGGGTACTTTTGGGGAACTCCATCCCATACTTAGATTGGTTTAGTTTAATTAGTTTTATTGACGTCAGACTAGAATCAACAAAACTATTGGCTATGTACCACGTAATTTTGAACTGCGGCCAACACAACTTGAGACTTGAACAGGCACACCTCTCCTACATTTCGCGATATGCCATGGATAGGTCTTTGGGTGTCGGCAAATGCATCAGCCCTGATTACACGGGAGGGGGTCCTTAATGGCATCAAGACTAAAATCTACGACTCGACGAAAAATACCGGACACAAGTCCACGATCATGGTCCCTGCCATATAGAATGGCAATTACAATGCAACACTATGAAGAAAAGCAAATGCAAAGAAAATATTTATTGTACGTAAAGAGTACGGCATGAAGACAAAATGATTAAATTTCCAAGCAGTTTGGTGATGTATAGGGGTGCGAGATTAGATGAAACAGCTGTCACACCAGACTGTTAAAATGGCCCTTAATCGGTTAGGCATGGAATAAAACTGGGCTTTCATGACAGAAATTGGTAACTCCTTCCATGCTGCTTCAAGTATATGCCACACTTCATCAACCGTATTAGCTGGAGTGGGATGGCGGGTCAGTCTCTTAAAAATTGATGGACAGATATTTTCAGTGGGTAATTGATCTGGAGACTCTGCAGACTAGGACAATAACAGAATATCTGTTATGGAGGAACGTCAGAACAGGACGTGCAACTTACGGTCTTGCAATTCATTGTTGGAAGGTAACGTTTGACAGGTCTCGAAGATAGGGCACAAATACTGGTCATAAGCTATCACAAATGTACCGATCTGCGTTCAAATTACCGTCGATCCGAAATAGAGATGCGCATGTATTGTACCCAATGGCTGCCCAAACCATGACATCAGGTACAGAGCCCCTATATCGATATCAAATGTAAGCAGGTGGCGAGCCGTCTCTTTGGAGTCTCCAGACACATATACAGTCCTCAGAATACTGCACGCAGAACCTGGACTTGTCTGAAAAGATAACATTGTGCTACACCTATATCCAGCTTTGACGTTCAGGTCACCAGAGTCGCGTTTTCTCTCTATGCTGCATTATGAAGGGTAGTCGAAGTAATAGTCACCTAGATGACAATCGACGCTGCTACAAACATCGGTGCACCGTACTTGTCCATACTGGAAGTACTACAAACTTTCCCACAACATGATGAATGGCCCGTGATGTGTTTGTACGGTTTTGCAGGGCTGACCTCTCATAATGTCTGTCCTCTCCGGTGTTAGTCTTGGAGGGGAGGAGAGATCCCGCATGCCGTTCAAACTGACCCTCAGCAAACCATTGATTCCATACTCGCATGACAGTGGTTAGATTTGAACCGGTGCGAAGGGAGATATCACAGAATGAAAATCTACACTCCGGATAGGCAATGATCATGTCCCTATCCAATTCCGACACTTTTTTGTAAGCGTTTCTTCTTTTCTTTTATTAAAGGTATAGCATGATATTATGAGAAATTTCCGGCATTACTAAGCTTTTTTCCACACAAATCAGAAATCCACTACACAACTCTTCTTTTATGCAGTATTTCAGATGTCGTTTCCTCCTCCAGCTCCATCTAAATGCGCTGAAATACTAATAATTTCCATATCCCAAACATATTCTACCTTTCAGTGGATTTTGATGTTCGTCGGATTATTCATTCCTGGTTCTGCAATTTTAATTGCCAGCACGGTATATATATGTATACGAGTATATATCCATATGTATGTATAAAATATTGAAATTTGTTTTGTATTTTTATGAAAAGTTTTAATCTAAAATTATTGTAAGGTATTTATTAGTAACATTAACTTTTGCTCTAGAGGCCACTTACATTTTCATCATATTTAATGAGTTGAGTGTGTTTACATTCTTTTTACACGAACTGTTGAAGTCTAACTGTGTTGTTATTTGCAGTCACACATTTCATACTTTGCATTTAATTTGTTCTCTGTGTATTGCATTTGTTCTCATATATATATAAAAAATATTTTTCATCTAAAATGCAAAGGTAGATTTTTTTAGATAGCTTCGCAGAGAAAGTGAATCTATTTTCATAAGCATAGAACCTCCCCAATTGAACAATTGAAACGCTCTAGCTACTTTTACTCTTACGTTACTGTTAACATTGCTTTACGGACGTCAGTTAACCACACATAAAGCTTGTGATTAATTTATTATATATATATATATATATATATATATCAGTTTCAATCATTTTTGATCAACTGATTGCATAGATAACGTGATGACTCCAATTTCTCTCATTATACCTGGCATCTGACATATTAACTATTTAATTTTCCACTTGCACGTACCATGCCATTAATATTCACCTTTGAATTACTCTCACATCTTCAAACTGAAGAGAATAAATTTTGTTTTTCTATTTTTTTTTCCAAAATTGAAAAGAGCAAAATTAGTATAAGGAAAAAAATGAAAAGAGAAAAAGAATTGATCGTCTGTTTTTTATCGATCAGGCGTACGAAGTTCATAAGGAATCTGAATTGGAAATTCATTCTGTAATGAATAAGAAATCTGATAAAAGATCTGAGTGTAACACAAATAATTCTGAATTCTCTACAGAGAAATAATTTTTTACACAGTAATGAATGCTTATGTGTATCATAAATAAACACAATCATTGATTGATTTTTATTAGCGTGCATTTTGAAGTAACAATAGAGTTATTAGCGACGGATCTCGTAATTCAGAGCTTTGTTCAATTGAAGAGGACGACATCTCACCTCCCTCTCCAATTTATTATATTCCGACAAAGGGAGGATTTTAAGCCTCGACTTATTTAACGTAAATCACAATGGATCTTTAGTGGCATCAGGACTCGAACCCACGACTCGACAGAAACTCCAACTGCTATTTCGTGATCATACATCGTAATCAAGATTTAGTTGTCGTCGGAAACTTTTCTGGGCCGTCCAGAAATTAAAACTTGGAATAATATATCAGTTTAATTGATTGCAAACTTTCATATTTGTAAAGGCAACCTTTTACCCATCTTATCTGTCATCTTGAAATTAATCCAAAAATATAAATTTTTACTTAAGTTCAAGCAAAGTCCAATTAATTAATATAATCAGTTCTATCTAAAATATTTTTATTTACTCTTCAAATAAGTTGGATGTTCTCTATAGTAAGTCTTTTCTGTAAGTTATAACAACTTCTATAATATGTCAAAGATTGCTCATAACAAAATAAGAAGTATCTCCTGCAATTGCTTCAACTGCGTTCAGTCCTAATCTCAATAAATTCGCTATATTTTCCGAACTCGCACACCACACTAACATCCTTCTTACTATAATAGGTTTCATTATTTTAAATCAATTCTATGTTGCTTTTACACAACTTGATTATATTTATTCAATTCACTTCCGAAGTTTACTTAATTTGCATCACGTTCTATTTAATTGGGAAAAATTCTGGAACTTAAATATGAAACCAGAAAGAAAATCCAGATGATAGCTGAAGGGAAATGAATCGCAAATACTCACCATGCTACATGTTAACTATATTTTTATCTTACTAAATATATAATAGCAAAATCGACCATTATTTGAATATCAGAAGAATACGAATTATTTTTATTATTTACATTGATATTGTAATAGTTTCCTACTTTAATTAAATTTTCTACGTTTCTCCTTCTGACGAAATGAATTCGTTTATTGAAATGTTGATCCAGGTTTCATTTAGTCAGGTTGTATGTTTACGTGAATTGTTCCAATGAATACCACTGTAATACGATTAATATATTAATTACCAGGGTGTTTGTGTTCGGATATATTTTGTGTGATAGTATACTTACCATAATTTATTTCACATGTCCAAAAAAGAATCAATAATATGAATTTAAACAATAGAGACATTTTTTCCAATAGAATTTACTCGTGAATTTTTACTTACATTGATAAGTCTAACACATATATTACATTTACCAATTTTGGTACGAAGTCAATGTATTCTTCAGAGGCAAAAGAAAACTTTCCATGCATATCAACTGCATCTGCAAAAAAGGATTAATTAACTAAAAATGCTCATTTTCCAGGTTTCGTGGTTATATGTGGACAGTAAGTGTTGCATGACTTAAGAATAATATGTGTTTTGAAATGCGCAAAATGATCAAAGTTAAAAACTTATCTTTCCTTTAAGGTGTGCCAGAATAACAGTCATCAAACATAAAGAATGCACCTAGAGTGATTTTCACACACAGTGTTATGTATGTGTGTATGTCTGCTGTGTCTAATCCTGGGATTTATTAAAATGATTCCTTGTCATATAGATTTTTTATTAATGTAAAAAAAAAGAAAATGTAGATTTTTCAGAATCAATTAGAAACAAAAGCATCAATCCCTGTCAAAAAGATTCAACAAAAGCTTTTATTTTCAATAATTTTATATCATGTGAGTATGGGTGAAAACACAGACATTCAAAGCAACTACAATTTGAATCGTCGACCTGGCACTTTCATTCGAGGAGATTGTTTGAAAGCTGCAGGCAAATTTCAAACTTATGACCTTTGGTTTACGCGACCAACGCTCTGGCTCTGAGCTAAAGTGACTGAGCCCAGCGCCAAGTGAAGAAACATTTGATGAGATATCTTACAAATAGAAAATGAATATGACGAATCTAATTGAAAATAAAAATAACCAATACCTTTCAACTTGTTCGGCAATCATTTGAAATCTTGTTCGGGCAACAAACTACACCTTGAAATATGTCAAGTTTGAATGCAACAGAAATAAATCAAACGGGATTCGAATATATGTTCATTTTAATATGTAATAGAACAAAACTCGGCTTTCACAAAATGGATGTTAAAAACATATCTTTCCTTTAAGTTGTGCCTGAATGTCGATCAACAAACATAACGCGATATTTGAACTCGCCACTTTTGGTTTACAAGACCAACGCTCTAACCACTGAGCTATGCCGGAGACCAATGAAAAGAATTCAGTCATGAAAGATTTCTTAACAAAAATTTTGAAAAAAGCGTAATCTCAAATACAACAGTTGAATATAATAAGACTATACCCAGCAAATATATTAATTCAGAATAACAACCACGACATGCATAAAATAACCTTTAACTATTTGAAATATTCTAAATGATGAAATATAAGAGAAATATTTGTGGTAATTAGAGCAAAAAAGTAATATCTATTGCCAACTCAGAAATTCGAATTTACAAATTTTGGTTTTCTTCACGAACAATCTATCCTTCGAGCTTAGACATTTCAAACAGAACGAAATAAAAAATTTGAGCTGCAAAAAAAAAAATTTCAGTCACGAAAATAATGCTCTGTCATATTAAGTGATTGTACTACATAGTAACATTTGGAAGCAAGATGAGGGCTATTAGCATATTGATTACATTTCATACCATAAATGAGAAAATATGCACTCCGAAGCATGATACATTCAAACAAAACAGTAAAATTTGAACAGCAGTACATAAAATGATGCACAATATTCTTACATGCGCCAACGAGATTCGAACTCGCGACCTTTGGTTTACGAGACCAACGCTCTAACCTCTGAGCTATAGCGGCTACGGAAGACAAGAACTAGTTCTGAGTAAAAAAAGCAAAGAAAAAAGAGGAGAAATTTTAAAAGGTATACCCCATCAAAATACAAAAATTCTATGAAATAAATGTTTTCATTCAACGAAATGCTGTACAATTTCTTAACAAATTAATTTCCTTCAATTCATGAATGTTTCTTGAAAAATTGATAAAGTCCTTAATTTTTAGAGTCATATACAAAGCAATTCTCTGTCATCTATACGCTGCATAGGTGAATAAATTCCAAGTTGAAAAAACTCTCCCGAACCATGAGAGCTGCAAAAGGGTAGAAACGCAAGGAAAAGCATCTATTTAAAATTTATCAGTCAAGTTGATTGAATATTTAACAGATGTAGATGTTGTGGGAACTTGTCACTTGAAGAAAGACTCCTCTCTCGATACCTAAAGTAATTCTATAATAGGAGGTGATGATCAAAAAAGGAAAACCCGAAATTCTAGACTGTAGAAACTGTTACCAACAAGAGCCGATAAAAACTGCTTAGTTTCAAGAATTATTAAACGAAAGAAATGAATTTAGGCAAGAATGAATAAATATATTTTATGTACAGCACATTACAAAATTCCAAAATAACTTTTATTGTCATATGAAAGTAAAATTTTGAACTCTGAAGCATTCGCGACCTAAATAAAATAATCTCTAATTGCTTGTAACATTATCAATAATACGAATTTAGAGGAATAACTTTGGATAAAACTGCCTATAACGAAATATATTTACACATATATACATTCGCAAACAAGATTCGAAAGTATCTATTGTGGTTTTGGAAAAAGACGATCTATTCTTTGAGTATTGAAGACCGAATGAAATTTAAACTCTACAGCAGTAAAAGAATATTACATTTACGATAATAATAGTCTACTATACTGATGGATTGTTAATAAACGTCGTAGTTAAAAGCAACACGAAGGCTATTAATATAACGTTTCTAATTGAAATCAGATATCAGAAAAATTAGTTAAGAAAAGTTTTTAATTTTAAACAAAAAAGCAAAATTTGAATGTCTGTATAAATACGTATTTTTGAAACCGCTAACAAGATGCGAAATCACGAGCTTCGCTTTACCAGACAAACGCTCCAGTCTATGAGACATGATGAATGTGATCCACTCCAAATAAAAGTACTTTCCATTTGAATTTTCATAAATTGACTGATTGGTGTTACATACTCTTGGAAATTTAGACATATTGTGCGAAAGAAAAGACAAAGATTTACTTTTGGTGAAATAAAATATTATAAAAGTTTAGTTCAAGATAAAATAAGCAATGATAAGTTTTTATCTACAAAACAAAATGTATGGAAAAATACGAATGACTTGAGAAGAGTGAAAAGATTTTGGAGAAAGGTTTTCCTTAAAGAGTCAATTAACTAACTGTTTGCCTAACTATCAAATGTTTGTCTTTGAATATTATGTTAGAGACTCTTCTTTCTAGCAAGGTTTTGGAATGTAAATGAATTTTTTATAGCATCTTTCACTTTTTAAAGACAATTTTATGTACTATCATAATACTAGGTACGTTTTTTAGACAATAATTAGGCATTTTAATAATTAAAAAGTAAAATTAGGCATTTAATATTTTTATTTCTTTTAAAATTTAATCTGCATATTGGATAAAATAATTGATACAAGTACACTTTTTTAATTTTTTTTTTACTATTAAAAACTAAATGGACGAAATTCCACAGTGAATCATCTGAAACATTTATTGTATATGAATATAAATACTGATAATATTTAATAAAGGTTAATTAGAGTTGAGAAAAATTACATCATTAATTTTATTTACATCATTAATACTACTGAATAACAGATAATTTCTATGATTTTAGTTACAGTTATTTTATATCTATGAAAGAACTAAGTTGGAGAATGTATCCTTTGCAAATATACCATTTCTTAAATCATCTGCTTACGTGCACAAGCTTGAAAGAAATTTTGGCAGTCTATCGGAGCATCTAAAATATATAGGGTTCTTCATTTTAGAATACCGTAAACGGTAGAAGTTGTAGATAATTTTCTATCTAAATTTTTTCTATGTCGATAGTAGGTAATTGGGATCTTTTATATATGAGTACTTCTGTTGATCAAATTGAGAAATTCTAAGAAAAGCTTTATGTTGAAGATAGATTTATTTCCTTCGCTTCGAAAAGGAAATTAAAATTGATTATGTGTAAGGAATTATTCTAAAACATACCATCAATTGGTGGCGTTTTACAAAAAAATAAATGTTTAAAACAAAACTCGTATTTTCTTCCCATCCAACTAAAGTGATATTTGAATTATGAAGCCCTTTATTCTTTTATTTTCAGCATCATTAAATTTTAGTTTTTACACAACAGGAAAAAAAATGCAATAAATGTTTCGAACAATATTTTCTTTTGGCTCTTATGGTTATACAAATGATAAATGGCTCCATTTACATTTCAAGCTACCAAACATTCTATGATAAAAAGTCTGATTTAATTTTTTTTTCTACTCACATGTAAATCTTGAAAAGCAAAATGCTTTTCTATTCTTTTCGAATTGAATATATACATAAAGAATTCCATTCAGGTTATACAATTTTATGTTTTTTTCTAAGCGGATGCTTTTAGACTGCTTTATTCTGAAACACTAAATATTTCTAACGATTTTAGTCTTGAAGAAATAGGTAAAATTGGCCATCAAACATATGAAAAACTTCAAAATACTTTTCATTCACGAATATGTTATCGTGAATGATAATGTTTCAAAATGAATCATCCGATTGCAAAATACTATATTTTCATAAACAACACATAATAATAAGTAATACATGAATGTAAAAGGAAAATATAGTAGTTTTTTATCAATTGTTCAATATCATTTCCTTTAGTTACATGTATAATGTCAATTCGATATGTAAATCCCGGCCAAGCACGTTGTAAGGTATCATAGGTAATTGAGTGTTCAACAACAGAAATCCATTGTTTAAGTTTATATAAATATGAGGGTGATGGTTGTGCATACTTTTTAAAAAGTTTGAAAGGAAGAAATCACATGGGGACATATCTGTGACCAGCTGTGTAACATTAAGTCATCTAGTCCACTGCTACTGATCCAATTGCAAATTATCTCCCTGAAAATTTCTAACACAGGTTTCGTAAAAATAGCTTCTCGAAGAATACACAATAGTCATCAGTTATTGACAATATAAGAATTCTTCATTTTACCTTTCTATTTATGAATTACTTATCATTTTGAGTCGTATAATTTTGAAAATATAGAGTTTTGAAATCAGATTATTCATTTTGAATAACATTTCGTGCATTATTCTAAAACTTCAGGCCAAATTAACCCACTAATAAAACACATTATTAACAAATAGTTATAACACCAAAAATATAAATTTAAAATTTAAATCCAATTTATATTTATATTTCAACGCACAATAAAAATTATTCAAAGCATTGAAAACATGAAATTCACTTATTTTGAATCAAAACTCAATGATTCCATAATGGCGTTCTGTATTATTAAACGTTTTGGAGCTAAATGTTTCCCCCTGCATTATATATATATATATATATACAAATAAAAATATTAATGAAGCATCGCATCACATAATTTTTAAGTGCTTCTTTACAATATAAAGTGTGATAATTGCTCAAAATTGCTTTAATTAACAATACTAATATATAAACACTCGGTAATCTTTATGAATGGATGCATTCTTGCAGCATTAATATTACAAGTTTCTCAACAGGAAATAAAAATGCGCGTCCGAAATTTGACCTCATATGTCTCCTCGTCAATCATAGATGACGCAATTCTATTCTTTTAACAATAGTAATGCTTTATTAAATAAATTTATATTCACCATTAATGACCAGTTAGTGCAATGTGGTGTTATCATTGTATTCTCTTATCTGTGCATATTAGTTTCTTTTTCAAACATTTTCGTTTAGTGGTTGAAATATTTCAAATTTTTTCGAATTAATTAGTTATTTTTTTCCTTTTATTTAATTAATCTTACCTATTAAATATCTGACAGGGTTTGCATCAAACTTTTCTGCATTCTGAATTCCGCTTTTGTTTTACTGCTTTAGCTATTAAAATTTATGATGAACAATTGGTATATTATTATTTTTTTCATCAGCTAACCACATTAATAATTTGGATTTCCATCAGCTATACATGATGAACTAAGATACAAACACTTTTGATTCGCAACAATTTCAATTATTTTTTTTTTCGAAATAAAAATCCAACTTTCTAAGGAAACTGAAAAAAAATTTTTTTTTCCACTCTATTAATTTTCTAGAAGTTGTTTGAGAAATAGTCATTCTTAAATATATAAAATTATCAAAAAGATTTGGATCTAATAA